TTGAGCCAGTCGCTCTGTCCCAACCCAACCAATTCACAAACATTGTTATTGTGGGGAAATAGGAGGAGGAAGGTGTTACCTATGTTGACCACCTTGAGTTATTTATAAAAAGAATAAAGGTATATAAGTAAAGTAAATAAATACATTCTCTTCTACAGTTTTGATGGGGAAAAGAGTTGTATTATTTCAAAAATGACTAATGTATATTGGGTCAGCAAGTTAAAAGAAATATATTTGTTTGCCAAGAGAATCATTTGGTCTTTCAATCACCTTTCAGTTATTTTAAATATTTTGAATATATCCAGCTGTTTATTGCAGGCGTTTTGTTTTCTCCGTGGTATGGTTATTTCTCCAGCATTTATGCACAAAACAGATTTTTTAATTAGCTTTCCCCAACCTAGTGCCACCCAAAGAAGTTGGGAATGTAATTCCCCAAAATAATGGCATTAATTGGTGACTACCAATTTCAATTTAATTTAACAGATGACTGAGGCAAAGAATTTATAGAGTTTCCTCCTCAAACCCTCCACTCTGAGAAATAAGTACTCCAAATACTGATGACACACCATCAGAGACTATTTATAGGAGATGTCAATGCGAAATGATTGTATCTATAAGAGTATAATTTGTTAGTAACCAGGAAATTTTCATGGTAGGTTTGCCCCATTATATTTTTCAATTACTTAAATGCAGACACACACAAAATATATCTTCTAAACAATAGCATTATTAATTTTGAAATGTAGCCAAGAGTTATTCTAGCCAAATATGGAGTAATTGTTGTCCATGCACTTGCTCAGCATTTATTACAGGGTCTAGTGCCATGATGTGCAATAATGGAAATGGTGACATTCAGAGGGCATCATTATAAATCTACTAAGTACACAAACAATGCACTAGTCTAAGGCTGATTTCAAAAATGATGTAGAAATGGCAATTAATGCGCAATGCAATAGCCCAAATATTGGAATATTGAGATAATTCACTAGCTTCATCCCATTCCCATAGGTAACTCCATGAGTAAGGCTTTATTGGATTAATATTCCTAGATTGTGTGGCATGTTTTATCCACAGCTATTACTTTCAAAATAGTAAATACTCCTACACATTTGCATATGTATATTTGATCTTCCAAACATTTAGTAAGATTTAATCACTACTGAGGGGTTTTCATCATTAGGTTGCTCAACAAACCATTCATTATATGTGGCACTGTACTGATGATATACTTGAATCAAATCAACAAATGACATTCATCATGCATGTAATAACCCTCAGATTTCTGCCAGAATAATTTTCCTCAAATCCCTCGCAGCTTAAATCATTGAATTTTAGAGGTCATCTAATCAACTCCTTGCCAACACAGAAATTCCATTACCGTTAATTGTCAAACCCAACTCAGCACTAGTAATGGCATGAAATCATCTAGCTTTTTTCTTGAAGAACTGAAAATGCAAAGTGCATACATTGACTTAGATTAAGTGTTTCCATGCCACAATTAATTTGATAGAGGTGGTTAAAACCTAAACCTGACTTGAAACTTGAAACCATTTCAATTTTCTAATAACATGCTAACAACTTCCTCCCCACCCTCCACCCCCTAGTCCCAGGTTCCAGTTAATAATATTTTGGGAACAATCCAATACACACAAGGTTGAAACATATTTATGAAAACTGGAGTAGATACATTGCAAATTAAATCCTGAGATTTGAAAAGAATCTATCCTGTGAGTGCCTCCAGTTGATCCATATTTGAATAAGAATACAGCTTAATTATGTAGCAAAAGAGGAAATTAAGGAAGCTCTGATATGGGAGTCATAAAGGACATGCAACCATTAAAACACAGCAGAACATAAGATGAGAAGAACAGAACAAAAGAGTTTAGAAACAGAGAGAGGTGTAACAAGGTCTGTTACAATAAAATGCATGCATGTCAACCATCAGACTCTCTGAGCTGCTACCACAACAGGATGCTCCAGCTCACAAGCAAACAGCTTTCACAAGCTGTGAGGCCTTTCCCTAAGCGTTATTCCCTTTAAAAGATAAAAAGGGCAAAGCTGCAGTGCAGGTATGGAGATTGATTAAGTCTATCATTGCATCATTATTGGCAGAAAGAAAGATCCTGCAGAGCCAGAACTTGTACTGAAATTAAAACTGCTCAACGGAAAAATTTTAAATGCCTCTTTTTGAAAGTTGTATGAAGAACTCATGAGAAAGAGGGAAGACAGGAAAAGTTCCCTAAACAGAGAGTTCATAACCTGACCGGAAGGATTAAACGTTAGAGTTAATGGTTGGAGTTCTGTAACTATCTCATACAAAATCTATACTCTTCTAAGCAAGATAAACTATTCTCAATAATTTATATAGGAAAATGTTTCCTGTAGAAAAAATGTGTCAACAGAAGAAGTTCCAACAGCAAAAATGAGCATCTATCTTATTCTAGGGTTTGCTCAGTAATAGCTCGTTTGTATCTAAACACATTGCTGCCTATCTCCATCTTTAATCAGATATACTTATCTATGAATTAATTTGGTTATTGCAGCTGTATAAAGTCATGTTCAGATTTTTACAGTCTTCAGTGTTCTGTTTTTATCCAGTTTTTAAAAGACGGGCTTAGAAATGAATATTAATACACCTACCCTCATAATTACTACAATATTAGCAAACTTTAATTAAACCACATTGGGAATGGAAAGAAAACCTATAGAGCTAATTTACAAGGTGGATGTGGGTGCGTCAAAGGCAGATTATCCTTTCAAGGATTTTGGTTCCACTCCTTAATTTCAATTCTATAGCATGTTTTTCTGAACTTCATGGGAATGGCAAAAAGACTTCCTATGCTCCTTGACTACCTTAGAAAATTATTAGTTCAGCTATTTTTCCCCTGAGAGCTTTGGGAAGCTCTCAAACATCTCCATTTATCATATTTGACTTAACTCCTGTACCCAATGAGGAGGGGATTGTTAAACAGAACCAGCTCCTTTTCAAATAGCTACTCAACTTGCTCAAGGCAAATCATTGACTGTGAGCAGAATTAGCTCTCAGCCTGATATGGTATAGTCTCAATCTAGTATAGTCTCTAATTTCAAGCAGACCCTACTGAAAATAATCAATTGTACTCTTCTCTGCCATGTTGCCCATGGATATATATGCAGAGGTAGGAGGGCCGGGCCAAAGGGGAATGGATACCAAAGAAAAAGGTAGATACTTTTATTAAGAGGGGGGGGAAAGATTTTTCAAAAGAAAGAGACTAAATGCCTTACCTACATTTGCTTCAATCCAGTTTTATTGTTCACCCACCCTATTGAGGGTACCCATTAATTTATTTCCAAGGGAACGCATTACTTAAACCAACAATAACAAATTATCCCATCCATGACTTATGTCATTACACTCCATCACTACACCCCAAAACATGACCAGAACTTAATCAAAAACCATTTTGATTAAACCAGAAGATTTTTTAAAAACGTCCAGGCTACCATGCCAAAATAAAATGTAAAACTACAGCTACCAAATGTCACCAGCTGGAAACTAGAGAAAACTAACATTGGCACCTGGCTAATATCCCCAAGGACTTCACAGCATAGCAGCTGCCTGTGAAATGTCCCAGAGTGATGTGAAAATCCTTGGCATTATTTCAGAAAGTCTGGGTGTTTTTCATAGTGGATATGGAATAGGCAGATATTAAGTTGTAACCAGATGTAATCATAGTACAAGTAGGTCCACTGAAATCAGAGGTACTTAATCCAATTTATTTCTGTGCAATTCCTCCAAGTAAGGCTACATCTGGATATAATCCATAATGAATATTGATACACTATAAATAAGAACGATTAATAAATACCAAGATGTTGTTTTTATATAAAACTTGCAATAAAATGTCCTGTTCACAGTTGCATGTTCCCAATATTATTCCAGGTGTCTTTGGATCATCCACTGTAGGAAGAATAATGACTACTGATACCTGTGTCAGATGCCTACAATATGTTGTCTAGTGTAATCAAGCTCTGTAGGAAGCAGTCATATACTAATAGTATTGTTGGAGGGGTCCTTGGGGATAAGGGAGGCCAACAAAACAGCTTCCAAGATCTTTCTCAATAAGCCTTTTAACTCTGACATTGTATATTTCATACATTGTCAACCATGTCTTTGTTATTGTGTTTCTGAAAATGTATGCAAAAAAAGGAGCCTCCACAATTTCAAAAAGCAGAAATTAAAGACATAGTATTAATTTATAATTGATTATATTCACAATTCATTAACAAGTAATATAATAGTTCTCATATACAAAGTAATAAAATTTTGATCCCAAGACCCTACAACAGTTCACCAGAGATTCAGTTCCAGTCTGTAGCTTTGATATAACAGATAAAAAAAATCAAACTACCACTTTCAGATCTGTCCCAGATCCTTAGCTGATTCCAAACAGACAGGGAATTAACAACAACAAAGAAACAGAAGAGAGCTAACCAAATGAAACCAAAACACCTGGTTTTGCTCCATAACTATCTCAGTGGCAGTTGTAATAAAGAATTCCATAGATAAAGCTCCATTATGGACAAATGTGTCTTTTCCAATTTGATGCCATTTGGATTAGACGACAGATTTCATTATCCTCCTACAGCATGTCAACAGGCTATAGTGGCTGATAGGGACACCTACTATAAACCTATACAGTGTCAGCCTTGGAACGCTGGCATACAGTAGAACCTCTGGTCACGACCATAATTCATTCCATAACTTTGGTCATAACCGGATTTGGTCATGACCCGAATCTAATTTTGGAAATTTGGCGCTTACAAAAAAATGGAATGGAAGGGAAAATCGGCCGCAAAAAAAAAAAAAAAAACCTTGTGAATTTTTTGGTCAGAACCCAAATTGGTCGTGATCAGAACCATTCATGACCAGAGGTTCTACTGTATAACAGGTTGGCAATGGGCTGGGGCACCTCGTTTAACTTAGCAATGCATTTTAAACAAAGCAATCTTCATCTTACCATCTTCATTCTCATCGTATATTGGTGACTTGCTAGAGGTGTTAGCGCCCATGTTGTTCTTGGCTACAAGCTCTGCATTTACATCATTCTTTAGAAGAACGGAATAAGAGCACAGCTATTTCTTCCCTCAAACTTGACAGATCTGTAAATGTGCTTCCAGTGGATCCTGAAAAAAGAAAAACAGCATAGCTGCTATCAGAAATAAGCTTTTGAAAATCACAAAATTTGACACTAACCTTGATAAATCATCAATATAATATATATGAATGAATAAGATTGTTGAATAAGATAGAAGGGAACAACTAACACAGATTTATGAATGATTTTTTCTTAGATTAACCATATTCATTTGACTGTAGCCCTTAACATACTTCTGCCATTGACAAAACAACTATCCTAATGAATTTCAGCTACTAAACATTCTTTCTTTCTATGTCATTTGGACCTTCATAGCATTAAAGATAACGTTAGCAGGTGCAACTTCAAAAAAGTACTGAAATAAATCTTACCTGCTTTATCTAGAACTGAACTGGAAAAAAAAATCCTATTTAATATTGTATATTCAAAAGAAAGTACACTAAACAAATATCTTCCTAGAATACCTGAAGTTAAAGCACACAAGTCAGATGTAACAAGACACAATTGAAACATAGATTTCATATTTGCCTCCTTTTTTCCTTATTCAAAACCCAGTACCTATTTCATGAGGTATCTTTTCATAATCAAGCTGAATGCTTTTCACTATGACGTTTTGATTCATTGTCCTTTCTACACTATCTTGGCTGTGGAAATGTCTATTACAGCACTTGGAAACAATACTGGAACTTCGGGGCACTTTAGGTATAAATATAATTAATATGGTCTCAGCTTTGCATATGACGGCAGATGATAAATTGTTTGCTCCAAGAGGGGAAAAGTTCCTTCTATTCATATGTTTTCTTAAATAAAAAGGAGCTTTTTTCATGAAAACAAAGATTGCTTTATTCTACTAGTATTGTAATGTAGCCCTCTGTTACTCTGAATGGCACCTTCTTTAAAGAATTAAAGGTAACATCTGCACCCAAACATGAAAACTTTGGTAGTCATAGTATGAAGAAAAGGCATTAAACACCCCAAATGTGATCTTAGAAATGGAACTTGGAACATAGTTAGACACAGTGGTGGGATTCAATTTTTTTTTACTACAGGATCTGTGGGCGTGGCTTGGTGGGCCTGGCAGGGGAAGGATACTGTAAAATCTCCAGTCAGAGGTGGGATTTGCCACTTCTCCGAACTACTCAAAATTTCTGCTACTGGTTCTCCAAAACTGGTCAGAACCTGCTGAATACCACCTCTGGTTAGATGCCTGAAACACAACTATTTAAATCTTTAAAAAATAAATTGGGCCATAGAGTACCATGACTGCATTCAGTTTACACTACAGTACGAGGTTGTACTCAAAAGGATTAGGTAATGTAAAAAAACAAAAAACAAAATAAAACCAACCTTCTGTCCCAAATTCTAGGAAGGTATTGCCAGATACATTGCAAAAGACTAGATGGATGATTAGTCAGGTGCAAAACTACCTTCTGCACTCCTAATATTTTTATATTGGTTCTTGACTTCTAAAGTATGCTGTAACCTGAATTATATAGTATTGCTGTATTCAAATGAAATATTTAGATTATATGAACGTCGAGCCTCATTTGGCCATGGGAAGCTTTGTCATGCTGTTGCCAGACATGACCTTCTCTAATGGAAAGGAGAAATAGTGTGGTGATACAGGAAAGTATGCATACACTTGCTTCAGACAATCTGCTAAACCACCAATTGTATTTACAGATCACTATTTTATGCCTCATATTAAAACATACTGTGATTAACTGTGTAAATTATGATTTCTGACTAAACTTCTTAGTTGAACATACCCAACTGTGACTTTTCCAGTATATCTTCATTAAGAACATCGTAGTTTAGTGATGTATGAAGACTCATGTACTGCGATGTAATAAGTCAGGTATAACTTGAGTGTCTTCTACTAATAATCCATATTTTGGAAATTGCTGCTAATGGAAATTGTCGCTAATGGAAACTGTTTCAGGGGGTTTCCCCCTGGCTTATGTATCATGATGCCATGTTTCATTTCTATCACTTTTTAGTGTTCCCTTGGGCTGATTGCTGTTATTATAGCTGTCATTTGTTCAGTTTCTGATTTAGATCAATTTTATGGCCTTTAGCCAGCAAATAAAACAGAGATAAAAAGAAGGGAGGGGAGGGAAAAAGTCAACATTTGCACAATCTGCCTATTTGAATTTTTCTGCTTTTGGGTATTCATTTTTGGGACAGCAGATGTTATCACTCCTGATAAGCAAAAGAAAAAGAAAAAAGAACAAAAATAAGCATCCACAGCAATCCATCTAAAATCCTTTTGGCAGGATTCCCTGCCAGTCTGAGGAAACCATCTTGATGCTACTTTAAGTAATAAAACTTTGCAAACACTGTAAGTTGTATAAAAATAACCTTATCAATGATCAGTGCAGAAAGTGAATATCCATCAATTGCTGCTAGAAGGGGAAAAACAGGTTGTTGGCATAATATTGTAGAAAACCTGAAATCTATAAATATAAAGCAGTTCTACATCTTGTGTGCCAGAGGGAAAGTTTCTGAATAGTTTTAAATTGACCATCAATGTTTTAAATTGTCCTATTTATATTCTGTGTAAACTGCCAACAGTCATTTTGATTGTGGTGTGGTAGAAATGTGTTTAATAAATAATAAATGATATAGAAATGATAGTAGCAGCTCTTGTTCCTTTTTTGCCTGCCACTAGTGGTAAAAAAATCTCATATATATATTTGCCCAACGGCAGATAAATTCACATGCAAGTGGTACAAACTTTTATTAATCAATCATTCAGCTCCATAAATATTAATCAGCCATTCCAGTACACGAACATTGCACATATATTTCATGTGAAATTAATTCCAAGATATCCTTGTTGTGATTACAGAACTCACTGGTAAGCAAACATATTTTGATGGACAAAAAAGGAAGACAGATACTCTATGGCAGCCTTCAACTTAAATGTGAATCTGATTTGGTTAAATGTAAGCAAGATCTGCAAACCTCAATAAAGGTTTGCAAACCTCAATAAAGTTGCTTAAAATAGACACAATTTATATGCCAGTCTGAGGAAACCATGTTGAAATTGCATATCTGGAAAAAGTGTTTACAAAACTATATCAGTTATACTCTAACTAACAAACATAAATAAATAAAGGTTTTTTTAAATGAACTTTATTATTCAAAGTTTTTTGAATAATAGAAATGGCAAAAGATACCCAATTCTTTTATTTAACGTTCTCAGATTTAAATGTCTATGAAAGTTCTCAGTCATCCAGTTCATAGTTATATCAAAAGTGGTTTTTATTTTTGAATACAATTCTCAGATGTACTTTCTCATACAGCTGTGGTTGTATTGCAGTTGGCTTTTTAAACATTTTAAAAATTCTGGGTCTTAGGCACATTTTTGTGTTGTAGCTTCAGTCTTTATCTTATATAGCGCTTTATTTTATATGATTTAATGCTTTAATCCATTTAGCGAAAGGATTTTTAACTGAAGTAGCAGACTGAAAAATTAGGTAATGAATTCTACCAGAGATTCCAATTTATTTTTTTCTCATCCATCAAAATTCTCCTTATTCTCAGTATATTTTAATTATTTTTCCTTTTCCAAACTCTTTCAACTTTAATTAATCAATTATTCATTGTAAAGCACTGCTACCATCAAATCATACAAAGCTGGTCCTCCAACAAATACAGGTAGTCCTCAACTTACAACAGTTCATTTAGTGACCATTTGATGTTACAGGGGCACTGAATAGTGACTTATAATGATTTTTCATACTTATGACCATTGCAGCATCCCAATGGTCACATGATTTACATTCTGATGCTTGACAACTGACTCATATTTATGATGGTTGCAGTGTTCAGGAGTCATTTTACGACCTCTGACAAGCAAAGTCAATGGAGAACCCAGATTCACTTAACCATGTTACTAGTTTAATCACTGTAGTGATTCAGTTAACAAATGTGGCAAGAAAAGTTGTAAAACGGGACAAATTTGTTTTTTAAAAAATCACTTAACAACATACACTTTGGGCTCAATTATGGTTATAAGTTGGGGATTACTTGTACACAGAAGGAGGCAAGTTCCTCAGACAATAGTCTTAACTCTGTACATGCTGAGCTTTTCTCCTTTCATGCGAATGAAGCTCAGAACTCTGACATCAAACTTTCTCTAAACTAGTATACTGCCCTTGGCTACAATGGAAGATACTGACACATCTGCAACACTGAAGCGAAATTCAGCTATTGGTTCAGTTCCATTCTGTACATGGCACCAAATGGACATAATCTCACCTTTAGCTGCAGAGTATCTTGAACTGGCTCTGTAACCAAATTCAAGAACATAGTCTTAAATATATAATTCCACTTGGCTCAATAAGTTATGAGAGCACAGAGTTATACTTAAGCAATAAGTATGAATTACTGGAGGGTAGGTAGATATAAATGCTGGAAAGGATGCCAATCTGTCAAGCATGCCTGTCCTAATAGGAGATGCCTTTCAATTGACTTGTCCTCATGAGGCATAGCTATGGGAGCTAGAAGAAGGGTAGATGGAGACTGGGTATCTACTGAATCATAATGAGAAAGGAAATAAGAGCCACAGCATCTGCTCTGCACTCAGATGTTCCCAGATTCGGCCCTAACATCCTAAAGTAAGGTTGGGAGAAATCTTGGGTTGAAAATTCTGGAGTGCAATTGCCAGTTTATGTAAATAATACTAAACCTGATGGACTAATAAAAGTTTGATTCAGTACAAAGTTATTTCTAATGTATTCCTTCCCAGTAGGAGAAAGTTGGGCAGAAATCCACAATTTGTCTTCAATTCAGTCACTGTGACATGCTTTTGTAGTATTATGTATCAATAGGACTTTCAGGATTTCCTTCATAATAAGGCCATTTTAACAGCTACAGTTATTTATTTAAAACATTGCAGCTCGTCCACTATCCTAAAAATCCTGTTGCCGATTGCAATTCAGAAAAGTAAGGCAAAAATACATTCATAAATAAATTTAAGTGAAATAAATA